ATATATAGTAAGAGACTCGATCACGTGTTTAAGATCTTGAAAACACATGTACTTTAGTGTAACCCGAACCATAGAAAGGTACTTAAATAATATTAAAAATGCATGTTAGCTCGAGGCTATCACTAAAATTAATGACTTGTATTAAAATGAGATGTTTTTGCAGAAATCTGTCTACCAGCGGACTGAAAGGTGGATTTTCCGTATCGTTCATGAACATGTCATCACTGGAAAACTTGTAAGTGGTGCCTACCACATATAATATTGATAGGCTAAATGAGATTATGTTTGCCATCTTCATGACCCTAAGCGAAAAACATATATAGGGATTTATCTTACAACAATTTGACGGGAGCAATTCCAGACTACCGAATACGGTCACTCAGAGTCCTGTAAGTCGATGTGCTGATTACATATTTGGTTGATGATATTAATTTTAGATAATGATTTTAAGTATTATTTCACAGCAACTTGTCAAATAACCAGGACCAATCCCTGATTTTGTTCTTCAAGGTTTTCAGGCCGGTCTGCTTGACTTAAGGTTTGGCATTCTCTGTTGCACAATACTTAAAAATATATGAATGTTACAAAATTCCGTACTACATATAAGAGAAAAATAGATCAGAGTAAACAACCACACCTAAAAGAAATAGGCTCAATCGGAAGTTAGTTATCATTGGGAAAAAATCAAGGTTTAGCAATAGTCTTTGCACATACAATATAATACATTGGTTAAAAATTATTTGGTTCATAGCCACGCTTCACCAAACTAGAATTACTCAGGGTTCACTTTCTCCGCACACTATTTGGTTAGTGATATACTTGTGGCGCGCCATACTGTCTTAGCGCTAGCCCCACTTGTCATAAACATGAGCTCTTAGGAAATTTGATTAAGTTGTGGTGGCCAATTTGGGTGCCACAAGAAGAGTGTGAAGCCACACTTCCGCATGGCATTGCATTGATGCAAACATGCCCTCAATTGCACGGCTAACATCTATCAGATATAAATGCTTTGTTATCTATGGGGTTTTGACAAGAGAGGTAGTAAGCACTTTAGTAACTGCACATGATTTACAAACAATATAGTGTTCCTTTAAAGTGCATAGAAGAGAAACTATAAAGTTGTTCTTTTAGACTGCATAGATGTTTAGCAAACAGGCTCAACTTCTAATCATAATTTTATACAGCTGTTGTAGCCAAGATCTTCTGAAAATGCAGGCCTCTTCTAATCATAATTTTATAATCATATAATTGATAGAGCAGTTGTAGCTGATTTTTATTTTATATGTTGTGTAATCGCCTCACAAGATTAGAAGGCAATCCCATATGCTCAAAACTCAAAGATACATACTGCTCAAATAAGAAGAACACGATGCATATTATGCTAACCGCAGTGATAGTTCCTGTGGTAGTGGTATCCCTCCTAGTAGTGATGTGCATACTCTGGAAGTTATGCTGGAAAGGTAAACAAAATTCTATGCTCTAAAATTTCTTTCATCATGCAAGGTGGTAAACAACTAGACATTATAGAGCAGGTTCTTACCTAAACTTCCATGGAAAACAAAACTTTGACTCTGCAGCGAAATCAGGAGACCATGAGGATTATGCTATGTATGAAGAGGAAACTCCACTACATATTGATATCAGGCGGTTCACATACGCAGAGCTGAAGCTAATAACAAGTGACTTCCAATCAATCATTGGAAAAGGAGGTTTCGGTATAGTTTATCATGGCACACTAGAAAATGGTGATGAAGTAGCTGTGAAGGTGCTTATGGAGACATCAATAGCAGAGGCAACAGACTTCCTCCCTGAGGTATACCAAAAAACATCAATGCTTTCTTCGATAGAAAACACACAATAAGGCTGCAAAGCATCTAAAACCCTTTACAAGTTCATATCAAATAAAATGATGCAATTGGATTCAGTTCTAGGATATTTGATACTTATATCTGTTGCTGCAGGTGCAAACCTTGTCCAAAGTTTATCACAAGAACCTTGTGACTTTACAAGGATATTGCCAGAACAAGAAGTGCCTAGCACTCGTTTATGATTTCATGCCCAGAGGAAATCTTCAACAGCTTTTAAGAGGAGGTTTCTCTCTTAACTCCTCCTAATGTTTATATCAAACATAGTTGACTTCTCTTAGCTACAACCAATCCAACATGCAGTTTCTTATTATCACTAACTTGTATTCGACATTTACAGAGACCATTTGTATTTTAACTCATAAAGTCAAATCCTTTAATCAAAACTAAAACCTGATCAATCTGAAAAGCAAGTTGACCAGTTCAGAGTTTTACTTTCACGCAGCCTTTCCCCCTACATTTCTGTAAGAGGCTGTTTCCGGGACTTGAACCCATGACCTCATGGTCACAAGGCGGCAGCTTTACCACTGCGGCAAGGCTCCCCTCCGTTATCAATATATTGTGCACCCACAAAAATAAAATTTGACAGGAACTACTTGTAAGCAGTACTGCTTGTAAGTATAAAAAGAAAACTCTAAAACCAAACTATTCTGGCCATGACATGGTAGTGTAATCAGGATTTTCGAAACTGGATCTCCTTGTTAAAGGTATAGTTGATTGCCTAAAGTGTTACTGCTGCTGCTAGTCAATATGGTTGAGTTGGTAGACTTAATTCCCTCTGCCTAGATACTCGACTAACAAGTAAGGCAAACATAGCTGCATCCTAGAGCTGCATATACTTAAACTCCTAACCATGGCATGGTCATAGATATTCGGTAAGAAATTTGGGCTACCATGGTTAAATTCTTAGTCAAAAGCATGGCATGTTAGTCACAAAATATAAACATGTACATCTTTCAAAAACTAGTAAGAAACAAAGCAACTAGAGAGATATGTATTCACTATTCAGAGAATACTTCAATAGCTTGGTTTTCTTGTTAATTGGATTTGTATATTTAAAATAGTATTCAAATGACACTTACTAATTTGGCATGTATTAATACAGGAGACGACTATAGTTTGAATTGGGAACAACGACTTCATATTGCACTGGATGCTGCACAAGGTACGGATCTCAGTTGCATGTTTGCCTTTAGGCCATCTTATGAATGTGTGTGTTTTCTTTCTTTTGAGGTGATGCATATATGTGTGTTCAAAGTAAGAGTTTTGTTGAACTGCAGGACTGGAGTATCTACATGAGTTATGCACCCCATCAATAGTGCACAGAGATGTGAAGACCCCAAACATCCTTCTGGACAAGAATCTAGTGGGGGTAATATCTGATTTTGGGCTTTCACGGGCTTTTAATGATGCTCACACACACATATCTACTGTTGCTGCTGGCACTCTTGGCTACCTCGACCCTGAGTACCATGCAACTTTCCAGCTCACAGTCAAGACAGACGTTTACAGCTTCGGCATCGTGCTCTTGGAGAACATCACCGGCCAACCCCCAGTATTTATGGACCCTCAAACTGTCCACCTACCAAATTGGGTGCGGCAAAAGATAGCTAACGACAGCATTCACGACGTTGTAGACAAGAAACTGCTGGATCTGTACGATGCCGGTTCCCTGCAGAGTGTAGTGGACCTTGCCATGAACTGCGTGGGGAATGCAGCCATCGACAGGCCGACCATGACCGAGGTTGCTTGAAGGCTTAAAGTGTGGTTGCCAGCGGCTTCTGGGACCCCTCGACGTACGTACTCCATGGATAGTGAAATTCCAAGGCAATTCCAGCTGATGATTTCAGGAGCACGTAACGAGGGGAGCTCTTTCCAGTCTGGCTATACCAATGGGATGTCACAAATGAGCCTCTTTTCTGGACGTTGAAAGGGAAACGCCTACTGTGTTATTGTTTTATATACTTGCTTAGATAATGTTTGGTAATTTGCTTTACTGCATCGTCATTGACTGTCTCGCAAATCGGAATTCAGTACTTGTATCATTTTCAGTTTGTAACGAAATTCAGTAACTTCCCAGCAAAAAAAAAAAGAAACTCGGTAATAGGAACATTTCCAGTTTCTAATATTGCTCGTTTACTGCCGGTAATAGTTTTCAGGCATGAGGCATCCCCTTCCACTTGAGAACTCGGTGGTCGACAAATCCGTGCTCGTACATTAAGTCCACACCAAACCTAGGACAAGTGGTCTGCTTACACATTTACCGCTTACGAATTCCGCCATTCATTCCCCAATCTCTCTCGCTAGGCCGTGGATTCAAATCAAAGTACGTACTTGTTTGTTTCTACCAAATCATCCGGGCATCTCCGGAGTTTGTGGACTAACACAAGTACACGAGTTGGCACCTGAGGACCTGAGCTATCAAAAAAGGGAAGAAATGCAATCACATCACATACCGAACACTCGGCGCTGTTCGTCGATTTGTTCGGGAGGTGCAGCACCTCCGCCCCCTCGCAATCGGCCTCCGCCTCGAAAACGGAGCTGGACAAGAGAAGAGATTGGGGGCAGCACAGCAAAGTTTTCCCCGACTGATGGCCGTGGTGCGGTTCTCTGGTGTGGAGTCGAAGTGGGCGGCGCCGGCGACCAGTGCCGCGCCTGACGGCGAAGGGGCTACGGCCTTGTAATGGGTCTTCCCAACTAGGCCGATGCCCTTTTCTTCCGCCAGAGCTATTTATCGCCTACTGCGAGGCAAGAGCTCCGGCTCGCTTCTGCTCGGGGGCTACCGGGCCGGCCCAATACTGTAGCTGAGTACGCGTGTTTTTTTCTTCCCTCTGTGGTTTCATAATGATTTTTTTTCACTGTTTACAGCGGTTTTATTTTATTTTCTCTGGTTTTCTTAGATTTTTTTATCCCTTGGTTTTCTTCCTTTTATTTTTTTATTTTCTAACACATGTATACATTTTCTGTACACATTTTTCATATACATCAGGAACATTTTATTCGCGTTTAAAATTTTCCAATGAATAAGATTTTTTTTCAAATATATGTTCTGATTTCTATTTATATATATATAAATTGTATATTTTTATGTTCATAAAAATATTTTCTCTACATTTTTAACATTTTCAAATACATGATTAATATTTTTTTCAAAAATATTTTTTTGAATAAGTGTTCAACATTTTTCAAATACACGTTGAATATTTTTTTTAAAATAATAGTACAATTGTTTTTACCGCAACGTCGTTGAACTGGCCTTGCAAGTTGTCCTCTTCTTTTTGTCTTGTAACTAGTTGAACTGGCCTTGCAAGTTGACCTCTTCTTTTTGTCTTATAACTACTGAACTACACTTTGTCACTCTTTTTTTTTAATTTAGTACAGAAGTACAGAAGACTGGTTCGGAGCAATGTCAGCTCGCGTGGCTATAGCCTCTAGGAGCGAGCTGCATGCATGATTCGTCCAAATGCACCAATCTTGAGCTCGTACTTCATTATCACGCTGATGGGCAGTACGTCAGCGCAGAGATTGTCAAAGTAAACTCCAGAGCAGGCTGCATTTTCCTTTCTTAGATGATGCTTTCATGATGAGCAAACCGTTCTGTTTCCCCACATTGTTAACCGAGCGCCCAGGCCAAGTCAATCCAAATACTACTAAACTGTGTTACTTGTGTCTGTCTGTCTGCTATATAGCTCGTACACAAGTCATTTGTACCAGATGCGAAGCCTCTTAGTTTTTGCATGATTGCTTCAGAACACTGCAGGAACCGAGGAATACATGGTGATCAGCTTCAGTTGCTCGGCAAGTAGAAGACCGACACGGAGCTTGGCCTTGCTGTTCATCCTGGTCGTGATGAAGACTCCAGTCCATGGGCAGTCTACTTCGGGTAATACAAGCTTCACTTATCGATCCTCAACCTCTTCAGCCCCTGCTCCATCTGCACATTTCAGTTTACTTCAGTTCAGCTCAGCGTGTAACTTAAGAAATCCCACTTAACTGAAATCTTAACAATAAACGTATTTACTAGCTACTCCTACTGAATATCTAGTCACAGCAGTCATGATCTTCGTATAGATCTTAAACTCGAAACGCACGAAACTGATACATATTCTCCGTGTGCAGAGTTCGTAAGCATCGATTGTGGAAACAATAGCACCTACTACGACACCATAACAGAAATACAGTACGATTCTGACAGTGGATTTGCCGAGGGCGGTTTGAGTCACAAAATTTCAGCGGAGTTCATGGCTGGTGCAGGGAATGAGCAACAAAAAACCCTGAGAAGCTTCCCTGACGGTCCACGAAATTGCTACACGCTGCCATCCACCATTGGAAAAAAGTTTCTGTTGAGGGCTATGTTTACTTACGGCAACTACGACGGGTTGAACAGGACTATGGACGGATCTCCGTTTTTATTTGGGCTCCATATCGGTGTCAATTTCTGGGAGGCGGTGAACTTGACAAGTGTGGATCCAACACTCACGATATGGAAGGAGGTGATCACCGTTGCTCCGGCCAACTTGGTGTTCGTCTGTCTGATAAACTTTGGTACAGGGATTCCGTTTGTGTCTGCTCTGGAGTTGAGGCCACTTGAAGATCTGATGTACCCTTTTGTGAATACTTCAGTGTCAGTCAGCTACTTTAGACGAATCAGATTTGGTCAAGCCACTGAAATTATCACAAGGTGAGACAGGACTGGCGTCCATAATTTGATTGGATCACAATTATAAATGTCAATGGTTTTAAATTCGGTTTCCTGAATCCTGCAATAGCTTCTAACAAAAAATAATACATGCTAGTAGTACATTTTAAGGTGACAAAAAATTGGGATGCCAGTTCCCATATCAAGTGCCTTTAAGTAAAGACCAAAAGAGTAGTTTGTTTTTGGCTTTGTGCTAGCTATTTACTTGTTTTCCCTTGTCATTGTGTGCAATAAAGATATCCAACGGACAGTTACGACCGGTTCTGGGAGAGTTGGCCCCAAAACTCCTACCCCTGGATCAGCGTAAACACCAGCGGTCGAGTGAGGAGGCTACCTGGCAACCATGCCTTCCAGGTACCAGAGGGCATCCTCCAGCAGGCCACAACCCTAGACACGAACTACTCCTACTTCGAGATCAAAATGGGAGTGGGTCCCAACCTGGACCCTAAGAACCTGCAGCTTCTCCCGATCTTCCACTTTGCCGAGATCAACCTCAGCAACCAGAACAGGAGGTTCAACATCTACAGCGACAATGACTTGCTGTTCCGAGACTTTGCACCTTCGCGACTCAGAGTGGACAGCATGTACGGGAACGGGCGGTTCTTGCACAATCCTACAGCGACCTTCCTCCTGAACAAGACACGCAGGTCAAGGCTCCCTCCGCTCATCAACGCGTTTGAGTTGTACACTCTCGTCCGGATGGATAACCTCACCACTGACTCCAACGACGGTAAGATACAATGTACTATATAATGTGTGCATTACAACTTGCCATGTCGGTTGATTCACATTATTATCATGCAGTTTATTCAGTTGGTTGAACTGCTTAAACAACACCTCCGGCCATCTTCTAGAGGATGTTTTTTTTCTAATCCACTTGTCGATGATTTGGCCTCGTTGCCTTGCATCAACTTCAGTAAAGATAGTAGTGTGCGTCACATGGATGCAGAGGCCAGGGGTTTCAACCTCCTTGGAAAATACCAATCTTACATCACAGTTTCGTCTCTTTTAAAAATTATAAGCTCCCATACCCAACATATACAGTTTTTTTATTCCGTTCCTATTTATTTCCTCTTTTGTTTCTATAGTGCACTACATGAAAGAAGTCAAGAAGCGCTACAATTTAGCAAGAAAAAACTGGAATGGTGATCCATGCTCCCCAAGAGAGTATTCCTGGGAAGATTTGACTTGCGACTACCCTAAAAGCAACCAGAATCCGAGAATTGTTGCAATGTAAGAACAAAACCAGGACTTGTACCATATACATTTTGAAATCTAAATATCATGATTCAGTATATATATTAAGAGACTCAGTCACAGGTCTTACTGGCTAAGATCTTGAAAACACATGTAATTTAGTGTAAACCGAACCACAGAAAGATACTTAAATAATCTTAAAATGGATGTTAGTTCGATGCTAGCACTAGATTAATGGCTTGTATTACAATACATTGTTGTTTTTGCAGAGATCTGTCTGCCAATGGACTAAAAGGTGGTCTAGCTATATCATTCATGAACATTTCATCGCTAGAAAACTTGTAAGTGATGCCTACCGCATAATATTGATGGGCTAAATGAGATTATGTTTGACATCTTTGTGACCCTAAGTGAAAAACATATATAGGGATTTATCACACAACAATTTGACGGGGGCTATTCCAGACTACCAAATAAATTCACTTAAAGTTCTGTAAGCTTCTCTCCTCATAAAATCTTTGGTTGAGCATATAAATTTTAGAAAATGATTTTATATATTATTTTACAGAAATTTGTCAAATAACCAGCTCGATGGACCAATCCCTGATTCTATTCTTCAAAGATTTCAGGACGGCCTGCTTGAATTAAGGTTTCGCATGCTCTGTTACACAATCGCTTCTTTTAATTGCAGGAATAGGCTCAACCCATGATTGGTTACTTGTCATTAAAATAATATCAAGATTTAGCAAACATTCTTTGCGTATACGATGTAAACACATTGTTTAGAAAACATTTGGTTCGGAGTCACACTTTACCAAACTAGAGTTAACAAGTTTGACCTTTTCTGGCCACTGTTTGGTAGCATCATACTTGTGGCACGCCACACTTTTCTAGCGCCATGCCACAGCTACTCCACTTGTTGTATGAATGAACTCTTACCAAATTTCACAAAGTCATGCTAGCCAATTTGGGTGCCACAAGAAGTGTGTAAAGCCATACTTTCACAGAGCATTGTATTGTTCCAAACATGCCCTCAGTTACATGTACTCCTTATCTACTATAAATGCTTCGTTATCCATGGGCTCTCAACATAAGTAGATAAGGACCTATGTAACTGCATGTGATTTTCAACCACGAAGTTTATTCACTTAGAGTGCATAGATGAGAAATAATGAAGTTGTTTGTTCATAGTGCAACATGTTTAGTAGGTTAGTTGTGTTAGAAAACGTAGGCACCTTCTAATCATAATTTTATAAAACTATTGTAGCTAGGATCTTATGAGATGATTTTTGTTGTTGTATATGTTGCATAATTGTGCCACCAGATTACAAGGCAATCCCATATGCTCAAAAGTCAATGATACATACTGTTCAAATAAGAAGAACACCACACCTACTGTGCTCATTGCTGTCATAGTTCCTGTCGTACTGGTATCCCTCCTTGTAGTGATGTGCATACTCTGGAAGTTATGCTGGAAAGGTAAAAGAAAATTCTATGTTTTATTCCCTCAATTCGATAGGTGGTAGATATTGGACAACAGATTCATACCTAAATTTCATGTAAAACACAACATTTTGACACGGCAGGGAAGTCGGGAGACCATGAGGATTATGCTATGTATGAAGACGAAACTCCCCTACATATTGATATTAGACGGTTCACGTACGCAGAGCTGAAGCTCATTACAAGCAACTTCCAATCAATCATTGGAAAAGGAGGTTTCGGTATCGTTTATCATGGCACACTTGAATATGGTGATGAGGTAGCTGTGAAGGTGCTTATGGAGACATCAATAGCAGATTCCACAGACTTCCTCCCTGAGGTATACCACAAAACAAACTAGGTCAAATCAATGCTTTCTTCAATAGAAAGCAAATAATGTCTGCAAGACATCTAAAACCCTTTAGGCCATACTTGGATCGCCGTTTCGGAGCGCAATACGCCCGTATTAGTCGGAACCGGAAAATGAAACATACGATTCCGTAATTGGCGCTTGCTTCGTCTTTTTTTGTTGTTTCCTTTCCGCCCGGTTTTAGTGTTATGCCCGGAAAAATCGTCAAACCTTGGGAGCTCCCACTTAAAATCTCGGCTGTTTTGGTTGCGGCAAGTACATTACCGGTGTAAAAGTAATACGGGTGGAAAGTTATGCCATGCTCCCAAGAGGGTCCTTGCAGAGTCCATATCAAATAAAGTGATGCAATTGGCATCATCTCTAGGATATTTGATACTTATATCTGTTGCTGCAGGTGCAAACCCTGTCCAAAGTTCATCACAAGAACCTCGTGACTTTGCAAGGATATTGCCAGAACAAGAAGTGTCTAGCACTCGTTTATGATTTCATGCCCAGAGGAAATCTTCAACAGCTTTTAAGAGGAGGTTTGCCTCTTAATCTCTCCTAGTGTTTATATGAAGCATAGTTGACTAACTTTTATTCGACATTTACAGAGACCATTTGTACTTTAACTCGATAAATTCAAATCACTCAATCAAAACTAATATTTGTTCGCTCTGAAAAGCAAGTTAACCAGTTCGGAGTTTCACATTCTAAGAAACCAACTACACAGGGACCCAGATGCCAACAGCTTTCATTAACAACTTGGGAACAACAAGAACAACAAGATCTCGCAACCAATAGTCCCAAACAATTTGGGGTAGGCTAGAGCTGAAACCCATAAGATCTCGCAACCAACTCATGGTTCTGGCACATGGATAGCTAGCTTCCACACATCCCTGTCCATGGCTAGTTCTTTGGTGATACTCCAGTCCTTCAGTGCTCTCTTTATGGACTCCTCCCATGTCAAGCTCGGTCTACCCCGACCTCTCTTGACATTATCAGCTGCTTTAGCCGTCTATTGTGCGACTGGAGCTTCTGGAGGCCTCCGCTGAATATGCCCAAACCATCTCAAACGATGTTGGACAAGTTTCACTTCAATCGGTGCTACCCAACTCTATCCCGTATATCATCATTCCGGACCTGGTCCTTGTGTGGCGACACATCCATCTCAACATGCGCATCTCCGCTACACCTAACTGATTCTTTGTCACACTTGTCATTCTTCTGAAGCGGTGCTCAATGACTCTTTCTCATAGCTTCATTGTATGGCTCATCAACTTAATTCTATGGTAGTTAGTACAACTTTGAGCATCCCCTTGTTCTTGAATATTGGTACTAATATACTCTGTCTCCATTCTTCTGGCATCTTGTTTGCCCGAAAAATTAGGTTGAAAAGCTTAGTCAGCCATACTATCGCTATGTCTCCGAGGCCTCTCCACACCTCAATGGGGATACAATCAGGGCCCATCGCCTTGCCCCCTTTCATCCTTTTTAAAGCCTCCTTGACCTCGGACTTCTGGATTCGCCGCACAAAATGCTTGCTAGTATCATCAAAGGAGTTGTCCAATTCAATCTTTGAGTTCTCATTCTCCCCATTGAACAACTTGTCGAAGTACTCCCGCCATCTATGCTTAATCTCCTCACCCTTCACCAGGAGTTGGTCTACTCCATCCTTGATGCATTTGACTTGGTCGACATCCCTCATCTTCCTCTCTCAAATCTTGGCCATCTTATAGATGTCCCTTTCACCTTCCTTCGTGTCTAAGCGCTGGTAGAGGTCCTCATACGCCCGACCCCTTGCTTCACTCATAGCTCGCTTTGCGGCCTTCTTTGCCACCTTGTACTTCTCTATGTTGTCTGCACTCGTATCAAGTAAAGGCGTCTGAAAGAAATATTTCTTCTCCTTAATAGCCTTCTAGAGATCATCTTTCCACCACCATGTATCTTTAGCTATGCTTCCACTTCCCCTGGACACTCCAAACTCCTTTAACGCCATCTTACGAATGCAAGTTGCCATCTTCATCCATGTATTGTGTACATCACCTCCTTCCTCCCAAGGGCCCTCCTTAATGACCCTCGCCTTGAACACCTGAGCCACACCCCCCTTGAGCTTCTACCACTTCATCCTAACGACTTTGGTGCGCTTATCCCGCTAGACACGAATACACGAAGTCAGCCACCACAAGCTTAGGCTAAGGGACAACACTCTCTCCAGGTATCACTTTACAATCTAGGCAAGCACTCCTGTCTTCTCTTCTTGAGAGGATGAAATCAATCTGGATAGAGTGTTGACCACTACTAAAAGTCACTAAATATGATTCTTTCTTTTTAAACAAGGTGTTGGCTACAATAATGTAGTAGGCTAGAGCAAAGCTTAAGACATCTTCTTGATTCCCAATGCCATAGCCAAAGCCCCCATGCAACCCTTCAAAACCCGTGTTAGATGTACCCATGTGGCCATTGAGGTCTCCTCTTATGAAGAGCTTCTCGCCAATAGGTACACTCCTAACCATGTCATGGCCTTCCTAGAACTCCCTCTTGGTGTTCTCATTGTGGCCTTCTTGCGGAGCATACACATTGATAACATTGAGAACTAAGTCCCAACTACTAGCTTGACCAAGATAATCCGGTCCCCACGCCTCTTTACGTCTATCACTCCATACTTGAGGCTCTTACTGATCAAGATACCTACTCCACTTCTATTTGCAGTTGTCCCCATGTACCACAGCTTGAAGCCGGTATCCTCCACCTCCTTCGCCTTCTGTCCCCTCCATTTAGTTTCTTGGACGCAAAGGAAATCAACACCTCTCCTCACCGCTGTATCAACTAGCTCCAGAAGCTTACCTGTCAGGGACCCTACGTTCCAGCTACCTAGGCGGATCCTCCTAGGCTCGGCTAGCTTCCTTAACCTTCGCATTTGTCGAGTCAAATGCGAAGACCCTTGCTCATTTTCCACTACACCCGGGCGTCGATGTAGCGCCCCACTAAGGATACGACGACCCGATACTTGCTCACTTGCCACCGTATTTAGATCTAGATATGGCGCGCCACCAGGAGGGTGACGGCCCGGCCCTTACCCATTTGACACCACACCTGGGTTCCGATATGGCGCGTCGCTTAGATGGTTCCGTCCCAACGATTTTCTTTTGGGAATCACCATCAATATATTGTGCATCCATAAAAATAAAATTGGACAGGACCTAGTTGTAAGTACAAAATTGGAACTCTAAAATCAAACTATTCTGCCTTTGACATAGTACTGCAATCAGGTTTTTGAAACTGAATCTCCTTGTTGAAGGTATAGTTGATTACCTAGATTGTAATTGCTGCTGCTAGTCAATACAGTTGAGTTGGTAGGCCTAACTTGCTCTGTATAGATATTTGACTAACAAGTGAGGCAACCATAGCTACATCCTAGAGCTGCATATACTTAAAGCCTTAACCATGACATGGCCATCGAACAAGTTTGGGCTACCACGGTTAAACTATTATTTCAAAAGCATGGCATGATAGTCACAAACTATAAACATGTACATCTTTCAAAGGCCAGTAAGAAACAAAGGAACAAGAAAAATATGTATAATTGGATTTGTATAAAAAAATGCTCTGGTAAAGCGAATAAAATGTTGTGGACATTAGTATACATTGACTCAAAGCAGAATCAAATGCACTGAGGTCGGCTGGCTGGAAATATGTACAATTGGTACGAGAGACACCCAATCAGATTCAAAAATGAAGGACTTGACTAGGAAGAGTTCAGGAAGGAAACAACTTGAACTGGGAAAGATGAGTTACAGATAGAATTATGAAAGCTTAATTAGGAACAGTAAGGATTAAGAAAGTATGAATTCAGATATTCATATTAGAGGGTTTCTAGTTAAGAGTACAACACCATGGGTGTCAAGTTAGGAGGTATTATATTCGCAAAAAAATAGGAGGTACTACCCCTGTTCCTATATTCACTGCAAGATGTCTTATATTTAGGAACAGAGGGAGTATTATATTCTCAAAAAAAAAGTTAGGAGGTCATGTATGGTTTGGGAAACAGTCAATAATGATCAATCTATTCTCCAAGTTATTCTCTTGTCTAAACCTATGTCTACCTAATCCCTCACAGACATGCCGTCTGACTATCTTCGGCATGGTAGTTACCTTGTTGTGGATCAAGCTTCACAGCAGAAAAGGACTTAGATTTTAATAGGACAATGGATGCTATGGACCTATGGTTAATCATTGTGTGTGTGTCCATCATTGCCAGCTTAAATATGTGCAGAGAGTCAATCTAAGAAAATATGTGCAAGTATTAGAAAAACTGGTATTTATGCTATCATGCACGAATGGCAGTATGGCACTTACATTAATTTGGTATGTACTGATGCAGGAGATAACAGTCTGAATTGGGAACAACGACTTCATATTGCACTTGATGCTGCACAAGGTCCGTATTTCAGTTGCGTGTTTGCCCATGTATGTATGTGTGAGTTTTCTTTCTTTTGAGGTCATGTGTGTGTTGACAAAGTACGCGTTTTGATAAACTACAGGACTTGAGTATTTACATGAGTTATGCATCCCAGCAATAGTGCACAGAGATGTGAAGACCCCAAACATCCTTCTAGACAAGAATCTGGTGGGGGTAATATCTGATTTTGGGCTTTCGCGGGCTTTTAGCGATGCTCACACACACATATCTACTGTTGCTGCTGGGACTCTTGGCTACCTCGACCCTGAGTACCATGCAACTTTCCAACTCACTGTCAAGACAGACGTTTACAGCTTCGGCATTGTGCTCTTGGAGATCATCACCGGCCAACCCCCAGTCTTTATGGACCCTCAAACTGTCCACCTACCAAATTGGGTGCGGCAAAAGATAGCTAGCGGCAGCATTGACAATGTCGTAGACAAGAGGCTGCTAGATGGGTACGATGTCAGTTCCCTGCAGAGTGTGGTAGACCTTGCCATGAACTGCGTTGAAAACGCAGCCATCGAAAGGCCAACCATGACTGAGGTTGTTTCAAGGCTGAAAATGTGCTTGCCGGCGGTTCCAAGGTTGCTCCAGTTAACGATTTCCGGAGTTCCAACAATAAGCAACGAGGGGAACTTCCACTCTGATCATGCCGGCAGGATGTCAGAGACAAGCCTCTTATCTGGACGGTGAAACGAAAACGCCTATTATGTTATTGTCGCGTCCGCTTAGATAATGTTTGGTAATTTTCTTAACAGCATCGTCATTGATCGTCCTTAGACTGGAGTTCAGCAATTATCAGTTTCAGTTTCAGTTTCTAATACTGCTCATTTACTACCGGTAATAGACAAGCATGAAGCATCCCCTTCCATTTGAGAACTCGGTGGTTGATTAATCGGTACTCGTACATTAAGTCCACACCCATCCGGATAAGTGGTCTGCTTACACATTGTTGCTTAAGAATTCCGCTTTTTATTCCCCAATCTCTCTCGCTAGGTCGTGGATTCAAATCAAAGTACTCCCTCCGTTCCGAATTACGAGTATTTGTTTGTTCTACCAAACCATCCAAGCATGTTCGGAGTTTGTCGGCTAACACAAAATTATATGGCATGGTACGCGAGTTGGCGCCTGACGGCCTGAGGACCTGAGCTATCAAAAGGGAAGAAATGCAATCATATCACATGCCTAGCTCTCGGCGCTATTCCTCGATTTGTCCGCGAGGTGCAGCACCTCCGCCCCCTCCCAATCGGCCTCCGCCTCGAAACCGGAGCTGGAAGAGATTGGGGGAAGCACAGCAAGCTTTTTTCCGACGGATGGCCGTGGCGCGTGCCCTGGGGTGTGGAGTCGAAGTGGGCGGCGCCGGCGACCATTGCCGTGCCTGACGGCGAAGGGCCTACGGCCTTGTAACGGGTCTTCCCAAATCTGGGCCGATACCCTTTTCTAGCGCCAGAGCTATTTATCGCCCACTGCGAGGCAAGAGCTCCGGCTCGCCTCTGGGGCGGGGGCTACAGGGCCAGCCAATACTGTAGCAGAGGACGCGTATTTTTTTCTTCCCTCTGTGATTTCTTAATGATTTTTTTCACTGTTTGCAGCGGTTTTATTTTTATTTTCTCTGGTTTTCTTCATTTTTTATTTTTTTAATCCTTTGTTTTTCCTTTTTCCTTTTTTTCTTTTCTAATACATGTATACATTTTTCTGTACACATTTTTTGAATACATCAGGAACATTTTATACAAGTATTTGCAATGAATAAGATTTTTTTCAAATGTATGTTTTGATATCTATTTATTCATACACATTGTATATTTTTGTGTGCATATAAAATACATTTTTATACATGTTTAACAATTTTCAAATACATGAATAATATTTCTTCATAAACATGTTTTTAATTTTTTTTAATAAGTGTTCAACATTTTTCAAATACACGTTGAATACATATTTTTAAATAATACGAGTACAAAACATTTTTTTACCGCAACGTCGTTGAACTGGCCTTGCAAGTTGTCCTATTCTTTTTATCTTGTAGCTACTGAACTACACTTTGTCACTCTTTTTGTAATTTAGCACAGAAGACTGGTTCAGAGAAATGTCAGCGCGCGTCGCTGTAGGCTGTAGGAGCGAGCTGCTTGCATGATTCGCCAAAATGCACGAATCTTCAAACTGGCACTTCGTTATCACGCTGATGGGCAGTACGTCAGGGCAGAGATGTTAAACTAAAATCCATGGCAAGTTGCACTTTCCTTTCTTAGATGATTGCTCTCACGAGATGGTTACCTACTGATGAACAGACCGCTCTGTTTCCCCACATTGTTAATGGAGTGCCGATGCCAAGTCAATCCAAATCCTGTAGTACTAAACTGCGTTGCTTGTGTCTATCTGCCAAATAACTCGTACATAAGTCATTTGTAGCCTCTTAGTTTTGCATGATTGCTTCAGAACAGAACATTGCATGAACCGAGGAATACCATGGTGATCAGCTTCGGTTGCTCGGCACGTAGAAGGCCGACATGGATCTTGGCACTGCTGCTGCTCATCCTGATCACGATGATTCGAGTCCATGGCCAGTCTTCTACCTCTGGTAATGCTTTTCTCTTCTAGATCCCTGCTCCTCTGTAAGCTCTGCATGCACAGTTCAGTTTACTTCAGTCCAACTTAAGAAATCTCAGTTTACTAAGATCTTAACACTCACATATTATTAGCTATTGGGTCCCTAGTCGCACAGGTTTTGATCTTTGAGCATATCTTAAACTTCAAGCACATGAAATCGATACATATTCTCCGTTATGCAGGATTCATAAGCCTCGACTGTGGGTACAGAAACACTAGCCCCTACAAGGACAGCGTCATACGAGGAATACAGCTCCTGTCCGATGTTGGATTCGTCGAGGGAGGTTTGACCCACCAAATAGCAGCAGAGTTCATGTCTGGTGCGGTATATGAGAGCCAAAAAACCTTGAGGAGCTTCCCCAACGGCTCACGGAATTGCTACACGCTGCCATCCACCACTGGTAAAAAGTTTTTGCTGAGGGCCTTGTTTACTTACGGAGACTACGATGGGTTGAACAGGACTGTGGACGGGACTTTGTTTCTGTTTGGGCTCCATATCGGCGTCAATTTTTGGGATACGCTGAACTTAACAAATATGGATCCATCAAACACATTATGGAAGGAGGTGCTCACCGTTGCTCCGGGCGACTCTGTGTCAGTCTGCCTGATAAACTTCGGTTTAGGGACTCCATCCGTGTCTGCGTTGGAGCTGAGGCCACTGCTAGATGCGATGTACCCTTTTGTGAATACTTCCGTATCAGTGGGCTACTTTAGACGGATCAGATTCGGTGAAGCCACTAACTTTATCACAAGGTGAGACTGACATCAATCATATTTTTGGATCATAACTGAATTATGCCTGTCAATGGTTTTAAAATCTGTTGGCCTGTCAATGCTCTTATGCTTTCTGAATCCCACAACTACTTCTAACAGAAAACAAAGTACATCTCAACTTGCCAAGAATGTGAGATTACCAGCTCCAATGGAACCAAAAGGCAGTGGTATCGTGCTAGCTAGCTATTTACATGATTTCCCTTGTCTTTTGTGTGCGATGCAGATATCCAGTGGACCCTTACGACCGGTTCTGGGAGCAGTGGGCACTCAATTCTTACCCCTGGATCAACCTGAACACTAGCAGTCAAGTGGAGATTCTCCCTGGCGACGACTACTTCAATGTGCCGATGGCCATCTTCCAGAAGGCCACGACCCTAGACACGAACTACTCCTCATCGTGATTAACGCGTCACTGGGTCCCAATGTTGTTCCCGAGAGCGTCCGCCTTCTCCCAATCTTCCACTTTGCTGAAATCAGTGGTAACAACATGCAGAGAAGCTTTGACATCTACAATGCCGGCGATGTACTACATCGGGGCTTCTCCCCGTCGCGATTACAGGCCAGTAGTTTGTACAACAGTGGGCAGTTCTTGTATAATGGCGATGCAGTGTACACCCTGAACAAGACGCGCGGCTCGAGCCTCCCCCCGCTCATCAACGCGTTCGAGGTGTACTCACTCCTTCGGAAGGAAAACTTCACCACTGACTCCGAGGATGGTAAGACCGATCATCGATCTGGATATTGCACACTTATTACACATATACATTTATGACACATATGTCATGTATGTGGTACATTCGCATTATCATCATGCAGTATATTCACCTGCTTAAACTGCCTGAAGAGTATCTACAGATTCCTGCTTTTAAACAATCTAGCACAGTTATTTGCGTGGGCTATGCTTTAGTCACCTCTTACTTATAGTTTTAATAATCTAATTCTTAAAAGAAGAGTATATACATTTGAGATGCCAACGCGGTTTCTTGCTTTTGTTGCAAACTGTTACATAGTTATTATTGTTAAGGAGTATTAGTATTGGTCTAGGAGTCCTTATTAGTCTATGTTTAGTTTCCTTGCACCTCAAGTCATGTGTAATATATATATGCCTCTTGGGCCTTCAATAAAGATAAGTTGCTTTCCTAACATGGTATTAGAGCCTAGGTTTAGGTCTCCGGACGCCGCAACTCGTCCTTGCGATCCATTTTTTTTTCTCGATCGATCTGTTTTTCTCTGGATCGATCTCGTCTTCCATGGCACCACCAGCCCCGCGATCCGCCTGGCGCCTTGACTGCTCGCCCAGCTGCTTCGGCGTGGGCACCTCGTGGGCCGCTACCTGCCCCTGGATCGATGGCGGCTGCCTCAGATCGGGACCATCGCCTCCTGTGCGCTCGGCTGGGGCGCTCGGCTGGAAGCACCTCCAGGCTCCAGGAAGGCTCCGCTCCACGTGCAGGCCCGCCCGTACAGCTCCAGCAGCCTGCGTGTTGCTCTCCTGCAGCTGCAGGCTTCTGTCCGCACACGTTTGCCTGCAGCTGGATCTCATCTTGGCCAACGCTGCTGCTTCCTGTCGACCGCGTGTGCCCCTGCTGGCTGGCTGCTGCTCTGCTCCCGCACGTCCATCTGCGTGCTGCTGTTGTTCCGCTGCCCTTTGCTGCTCTACTCAGCTGATGCGTTCTGCTAGCCTACTTGCTAGTTGATGCGTTCCTGCTAGCCTATTTGCTAGCTGCCGCTGCTGATCTTTTAGTCATTGCATTAGTCTGGCATGTGCTTTTTCTATATTTTTCGCTGCGTCCACCAAATTCGTTGATATTTTGTGTTTTCTCATGTCATGTGAGTCCACCATACCTATGTCTGTCAGCCTTTTTCTGGTCATTGTCCTCTCTATAGGATTTCTGTGGCCTCTCTTTGCATTGTTGATCTAAGCCCATTCCCTTGCCAAACTATGAATGACACATTTCCAAGAGAAACCAAACTAATCCTAGAGAATCCAAGAAAACCTAGACATGTACATTTAAACATGCCAAGCCCAAAAAATAGTACTTTGAGTATGGCATAAGATTTAATCGTATTATATCCTTTGATTTACAAAAAAAATGTTTGGTATTAACGTTTAGATTTAAGCTGCTTTGGATATTTTTAATATAGACTACGTACGGACTGAAATAAGTGAACACACTAAAATGTGTCTACATACATCTGATTCAGGAAAAGTTAGACCATATTATAATTTGGAACGGAGGGAGTTGTTTTAAAGTACCACACTTTTGTGTGTGTGTGTGTCTGTTGGGTGGGGTGGGGGGCCTTCAATGTTGTGTTGATTGTATCTATTACTTTGTGCTGGGGTCATTGCTTGCACTCGGTTCCATCCATTTGTGCTTCATTTTCATCCCTAGATAGTATCATAGACTAGTATCATGCACAAAATCTCAATACCAGATTGTAGCTAGGATCTACTAATTAACTTTTCTTGTTTGACGTGTTATGATACTAGAATCTTCTCACATCCTTAATTGCAGTGCCACATCCTCTTTTTGCTTAGGTGGCAGTGTACTCTTGTGATAGTTCGCAGCCCTACCTTTTACCTTCGACAAAAGAAAATATTGGGTCACTGTTGCAAAAGACTAAAATCCACCATGTAATGTGCAAAGTATATCGTTTCATGTTCTACAATAGCTTGAACAGAGAAGGGTCTATCAACTTAATTTAGGAACAGCATATAGATCCACAAAAATGTAGAGAGAGAAAAAAAGTCATAATTTATGTTCACTTAGTTCATGTCATAGTTTCATGTTCATCAGATGAGGATAGGTAGACTGCATCGCCTTCCAGAAAACATATGATGCATCCCTCTTTTTCTTTCTTTCCCAAAATTTGCAATTAACTGCAAGTATGGTACAAAATTATCATGTGTTGCCACTAGGAGACATTGTAGTGTACAATTGGGAAATCATCTGAAACAAATTTAATGCCAACATTTGGACCTTGCTGGAGCGGGCATTGAGAGATCAGTTCAATGATGCACTAACTGAAAGAGGTGGTAAACCCGTTGTTGAAGTATTACAAGCACTAACCCACACAGGCAGCGGACAATTAAATGACAACTGTGCACCATCTGTGCATGGAAGTAATCCAGTACCACTCTGAGGGACTGTGGATCACCAAACAATTTTGTTGGCACATATAAACATAAAATAAGAAAGCATACATATTTGGAAACGAGACAAATTCTCAATCCTAAAAGGGGAACTGATTATGCTAAAATCTAGTAGCAAGGAGAAACTCCAATAGAAAAAAATGGTTCACTTTCAAGAAAAATCTTGAATTTACAACTTTGCATTGACCATAGCTTTTGTGATTTTTAGTTCAGTATCAAAGTTGTAGCAACACAAGAATTTGACACTATTATGTAATGAATAATTGAGCATACACCTCAAGCTTGTACTATTACAAATTATTAACCATCTAATGGAGATCATTTGGAGATTTATTGCCAAGTCAATCATAGTCCCTTCGTCCCATATTAATTGACACTCAAACAGATATATTTCAGTGCTAGATACATCCGTTTGAGCGTCAATTAATATGGGACGGAGGAACTACTAATTAGAAAATGAACTTGCAATCACATCTCTGTACATTCTTATAGCCTCAAATAGATAATATAAGAACAAACGTACACATGGTATCTTTCTATCAGAAGATGCCAAGTGAACAAAAGGCTGAGTTGTCGTCCCTCAGTGCTAAGTCAAAAAAGAAATGTATTGACTGCTGCGAGTCCAATAAACTACATGGAAATCACAGTATCATCTCCGTCTGCGGTACAATTTGCACATGACACCAGCAACAGTTAACTTTGAATGAAAATACATACAATTAACGCTGAAACAAGCCTCATTAAATACTAGCTGTGGCATCATATATGAGAGATTTTTCTAGTATATTATCGATTTCAATGTTATGTTATTTGAGTGGTCGTAGACAGCAAGCTTGAAGAAAGCGATTTTTGTTTGTTTGTTAAATTTCCTAAAAGTGGTGGTTACATACATGATATAGTGGCCAATGTGGTGATTTGTTGTAATGTACTCATTGTTATATGTTTAGGGAGAATTATGCAGATCTCTGGGCCTGGTTTGTTTAGGTGCGAAGATCTATAGTTGTGATATGTTTAAGTGCAATTATGATAATCTAATGGCTGAGATCTGTTTAGGTACAATTATGGAGATCTAGTGGTTGTGATATGTTTACATACAGTTATGATAATCTAATGGCCATGATCTGTTTATTCGCAGTTATGAACATCTAATTGTCATGATCTGTATAGGTACGTTTATGAAAACCTAACGGTCTTGATTATAAAAGTGCCACCAGACCAATGGCCGAATGTTTTGCCTTTTTTGTGATAGTTTTCGTGTTCACCTTTTTTTTGTATCGTGCTATTTTTCTGTTGTGGTATACTTTTAGTACATAATAGAATAGATGTTAATGACCAAGTTCTCGGTGTGTAGACCCCTAAGGATTCCCGACTCCATTTGACATAGTCAAGATCTTCTTCACTGAAGTTACAGAAACAAGATTATCCTAACTAATTTGTGCACTCAACTTTTGAGTAAACTATATTCTACTCCCTCTGTAAACTAATATAAGATCAGTGATCTACTAATTTGTGCACTCAACTTTTGAGTAAACTATATTCTACTCCCTCTGTAAACTAATATAAGATCAGTGATATATACGATCTTATATTAGTTTACAGAGGGAGTACATGTCAAATGCTAATTAGCCACGAGGAAGACCATAGTAGATAAGTAAACTTATACAATTTATTCAGCCTTATAAAATGAAATGATAATGTATCTTCTTATGCTGTTATTATATCATGCTTAATACTACAATAATCTTATGCCCAACATATATATTTGCCATTAATACAGTCATGTTTGTTTTCATTCTCTTTTTGTTATTGCAGTCAATTACATGAAACAAGTAAAAGCACACTACAATTTGACAAGAATAGACTGGAACGGAGATCCATGCTCCCCAAGAGAGTATACCTGGGAAGGTTTGACTTGCAGCTACTCCAGTAGCAACAAGAATCCAAGGATTGTCCGAGTGTAAGAATGTAACCAGGACCAGTACTCTTATTCCTAATAAACTATATTACTATATACTCAAGTGAGTTCTATAAAAAAACATTTGGTCCATATATTTCCTTCGATTTGCACATATACAATTTTTCTATACATAAAAGGGGTATATTGCAAAAACAGAAAGACTAAGGGCTCCCATGATATTATTTTTATTACACTTGTATTGAAGTATTTTAGAATAATTGATGAGGTATATTGATAATGATAAAAAAAGTATAATCAATTCAGTTAAGAGGTATATCAAAATGTGGGATTAC